GGCCTTGGGGGGTTTGGCAGGGGGAGTGGCCAGCCCCAGCAGGGGTCAGAGCCTCAGGGGCCTGGGAGGGTTGGGGGGGCTGGAGGAGTGGGTGGGGCCAGCAGAACTCCCTCTCATGGTCCGCCCCTCCTCTAGCCCCCCTGACCCCTTACTCACCAGCACCAGGGTGAGGGCCAACCATAGAGAAGCTGTGCCAGCCAGAGCGTGTCTATGGAGGACCAGCCTCTGGTTGCCTCCGCTCCGCTTTTTTTAAACATCGATTTTTTAGACCCCTGGATATCCAAAGGTCTAATTTTCAAACTTGCAGTGCGGGGAACATTTTCTTGTTCCCGCACATGCCTGTTGCCCCGCCTCAAAGGGATTTGAGGCAAAGGCAAGAGATATGTGCGCGCTCATGTGGATGCATCCATTAAATCTCTGGGATATAAATGCTTTTCATGAGCATGAAACACACTTTTCCAGCAAGAACAAGTTTAAAATTATTAACTGGGGTTTTTTTAAAAGGGCATTTTGACAAAAAGATGGGTGTACTGATGATGATAGGGGCTATTCTTTCACCTTTCTAGGGCACTGACTTCCTTAGTGTTGGCCCAGCTCTGAAAAAAATTACGTCTCCATGGATAAGGGCTTTTCCTTATTTGACAGCTACTTGAGTCTGAGTAAAAATTATTTAAGTGAATATCCTACAAGATCAAACTTCAGGATACTGGCTAGAAATCCCACCGATTGATTAAACATAATCTAAGTCATGATGATAAGGTGCATTTTCATCATAGATTAACTCACAGGGACGTTGTCATCAGAAATAAAATGCCTTCTGCCAAGCCAAGAATTATCAATAGCTCCTATACATTATTTCTAAGTTTACCAAAAATACTAAGAGGGAGGCTGAAGTTAAAATAATGGAATAATTTAAAAAGAAGATTTTATTTTGTTTCTGGAAACTCCTTCAAATATATGTACTTCCTGTATAGCATGCATTTCTGATTTTAAGAAACATGATTTCTGTTTATTGATTAGTATTACTGCCCATGAGCTTTGGATCTCTTTTCTATTTTTGATTTACAGCATTCCTAATAGAGCTTCAGCTTTGATCTATCAGAGTTGCAAAAGTTTCATGATAGTCTACATATTCCAAATAGTCTAAGGGTGCTTGCCTATGCGATGTATGGTTTAGCCCCCTAAATTGAAAAGGTGGGTTTTTAATCGCAATAATTAAAAACCCACTGTTTCAATTTAGGGGTTTCTGTCACTGTTACAGAGAGGGCCCAATCCTTTTTTTTCTTTTCACGGAGCCTGCCTGTATCTCCCATAGCTGGAGGGCGAGCTGCCAGGAGGGCTGTATGTTCCCTGAGCTGCAGGGGGCCCTGGTCCTTCCCTCTGTGGCAGTGGTGCCCCCCAGGGATACCCAGCTGGGCTGCTAGCAGCACAGGTGCTGCCCCAGCTCAGGCTCAGGGAAGATCTGGATCAGGCTGTGTGCTGCCTCCGAGCTGGGGAAGCACCTGCCTACTAGCCACCCACCTGGGTGGCCCTGGAGGATACTGCAGCCATGTAAGGAAGGACCAGGGTTCCCTGCAGCTCAGGGCCCACCAGGAGCTCACCCCCTGGCTATGGGAGTGGTAGGCAGGCTCCGCAAAAAAAAAAAAAGAAAAGGATTGGACCCCTCACTGCTTCCTTTTTTTTTTCTGGCAGAGCCTGCCTGCATGAGATGCTGGGCTGTGCAGCCCCTGACCTCTGGGGGGGACTGGTGCTTCACTTCACAACGGCAGTGCCCCCTGGGGCTGCCCAGGCAGGGTGTTAGTGGACAGGTGCTGCCACAGCTCAGAGGCAGCACCCACCAGATGCAACTGTTCCCTGAGCCTGCCCTGCTCTCACAGCTCCCTGGGCATGCTTGGGAAGAGTTGGATCCAGTGGGTGCTGCCTCCAAGCTGGGTCAGCACCCGCCTGCTAACACCCCGCCTGAAGGGTGCCGCCACCGCAAAGGGAAGGATTGGGGCCCCCACGACTCAGGGGCTGCACAGCTCTCCTGCAGCTCACCCCTCAGGCACAGGAGACACGGGAAGGCTCTAAAAAGAAAAAGAAAAAAAAAAGGATCTGGCCCCTTACTACTTCTGCCTTCAGCCCGCCTCTCCCGCAGCATGGGAGGGGGAAGTTGTCCAAAGGCTGCAATATTGCAGATAGCTGTGTTGCAAACTAAACACATGTGGATGTGGTTTAGTGTGCAATGTAACAAACTCATTTAAATAGTAACAAAAACAAACCCCATGCACATGTACAGTGCGATGCAATTGAACCACAAGAATGGGAAATTTTTATCACGTGTACAAGTGCCTAAGTGTTGCTTTTGCTACTGATCTATTATATAAAATCTTCTGGCTAAAGGTTTCTTTTTATATAGATCATTTGATGCACTCTAGAAATGTTGTAAGAGTCTCTCTGGTATTCTGTAATGCAG